TGGGTGACCCTGCTTCGGCAGGAGGGTTGGACTAGATGACCCCCAGAGGTCCCTTCCAACCCCTACCATTCTGTGATTCTATGAACAGTTTCTAACGATGTATTATTCCTGAGGAAGAGAGCAAGTAATTATACCGTAAACACAAAACCCCCTGTACTTGTTTCTTGCAGGCTGTAATGTGATTACAGCTAGCTTGCTGTCATTAAAAAGCTCTCTTTTGCTGCCTTAGATGAAGAGCAGATCTTTCTCAAAGGTATTGACTCTACTTTTGAAAGGCACTGGGTCATACAAATAACAGTGTTTAGAAAGATCCTCTTATATTTTTCAAATGCCAGCAGCAAAGAAATTAAGCATTATATGAATGGAAATAAAAATGAACAGACGAAACACTGTAGCTTGGTCTTTGTAATATTACCACAAAGATTAGCCTGGTTTTCATAATATTACTGCAAATATAACTAAAACACAGAAATCATGTGAAAGGAAGCCTCAGTCAGATTTCTTTTTTAGTAATGTTGTAATACTTATGTTTTTGCAGGGGAAGTCCGTTTGACTCCAGAGGACTTTGCCAGAGCTCAAAAATACTGCAAATATGCTGGCAGTGCTTTGCAATATGAAGATGTGAGCACTGCTGTGCAGAATCTACAGAAGGCCCTCAAGTTACTGATTACAGGCAGAGAATGAAGCCTTTATCCAACAGATTCGTGTCCTTTGCCTAATGAACTGACAGCTTATTACTGTACCTGTTAAGGGAGTGGAGTTATACAGAATTTCTCAATCCCATCACCCATGACAATGAAATTGCTGTTTCAGTGTCAGACTAGCAATTAATGGTACTGTAGGAATCTCTGTTTTCATTTTACACACAAACAGTGGAGCTAGAAACATATGAATGCAGTGGCTTGATGTAAGCAAAATACTGAAGAAAATACTGTCAGCACTGCTCGAGTTAGAATTCATCTTGCAATATTTAGATTATTGGAATGGGGAAGTGCTGAATCTGTAAAATACTTGAGCATGAGAATGTTCCGTTAAAATTCTTACTCTGATTTTATTATTTCAGACAACCATTTAAGAAGTATAATAGCTTTAAAATGGTAACTAAGATTTGCGCCTTCCTCCTGAAATGAGAGCGTTTGAGAAGGCGGACAGATCCACAATGAAAAGGACTTTTTTTTCTATACATAAATTATTTGGCTATTATCCGAGACATAAGTCAAAGTTGAGGGAGACTTGAAGACATTTATGTTTTGTTTTAAAACATGCTGGAAAAAAACATCTCCTGATACTTCAGAAAGAGTAATTTTGATGGTGTTCCAACCCAATACCCCACAACTGTACGAACTGATACTTTTTTCTTGATTATTGGTTCTTGCTCCTTTTGTGTGAACACTTACAATTTTGTATATGTATGGGTAATTAAGAGAAAGTACTAATATTTATCAGAAATGATCCTGAAACTGGAGGCAGAGATTCTAAACAACATGAACTTTTAGGGAGATTTCCTTCATAACTGTTCCATCTTTTTAAGAGGCTGAAGAAAAAGGCCTGTTCTTCAGCCATTAAAGCAGTATAGGTTCATCTCTGGTATTAGTGTCATAGAGCTTTGTATTTCCAGCTAATATTCTTCCTGTCTGGTTTGTTGTGGAGACTTTTTGGACTTCGGATTTAATTAAAATATCTTGGAAACTGAATTTTGAGTCTTTATGAGGTCTGCCTTTGCGATTGTAGAGCTCTTGATTGTTAAAAATCTATCCATGCTGTTTAAAGGAAAGGATAAGTAGTCTTTTAACTGGCGAGACATAACAATTGAGTACATTGTAAAGCATGTCTGATTTATGTAATAATTTTAGAGACATATTATCTGATCTGTCTGTCTTTCTAAGCGGGCGATCAAACCCACCTGTTCTTTATAGCTGCACTATTTTGCAGTCACTAAAATAAGTCTGATATTCAAAGCAAAAAGGTTAGGAAAAGAAAATGAAACATAAGCATGCATTCAAGTTTAGCTCGTCGTATCCTTCTAAGAATGTAGAGTCTTTGACAGCAGGTTTGAAAAGGGTAGTATGAAACTTGGAAATGTATGCTTAAGCGTTTTAGTTGACTGAGATATAGTAGGTAAAATGTTTGATATTGTTTGTGTTACTTTCTGAGATGGGATGGCATGTTAATCTGGACAGTGATTTGGATTAGCTTCTAATTGTTTTGGGAAATTTAGAATAAATCATTCCAAAACTTTTGATACTAATGCTGTATGGACCTGGGCAATAAGCCTGTGTTTTGTACAGTGCTTCATGCAAGATAGATCCCTTATTTCAGTATCAAACTGAGTTACTGTAAATTATTCCATGTATATTATTGTGGTGTTACACTGTGATTGGAAAAGCTACTTTTCAGTTGAAAGAAGGATGCAGAACTTTGATCCAAGTAGAAATATATGTACTGTGTTGCTAAGAAAGAATCAGAAATTGCTTTCGTTTGACCATCATACCAGTATTTACTAATACCAGCTTCAGTCCCAGTACTTGAAGGAGGAAAGTCAGTTTTCCTGTTTCTTTTTACAAAAGAATTAGAAGAACTTCATGGCTTTTGTATTACATGGAAAAATAATCAAGCTATGATATAATATTGTATTAATTTAAGGCTTTTCAATTAAAATTGATACTATTAATTTTTTTTGTGAGTGAATTATATGATGTGGAAATACATAAGTAAGAAGGTTGGAAAAAAATTTAAGTATTTTTTAAAGTGTATGAAAGATTGTCTGTTGGCCATGTTTATGTTGAACTTCTAGTTTCCTCTAGGAAACCAGGAAATCATCCATGAAAAAGCAATAAGCAATGAAAAAGCCATAAGCCATTTTTAAGTGATCATTTACAAATGTTTTACCGTCTTCTGCTTAGAAAGATATTCAAAGAAGTGTCTCTGAGGGGAATGGAGATGAAAATGCTAATACAAAAGTTTAATAATTTATTAGAGAAACTATCAGGACATTCTTTCTGAAAATAAATAAATGTTTAGAAGATTTACTGTATAAAATTCTCATGTATTCTGTAAAATTAAACATACCCTAATACCAACCTTCAGACCACAATACCTTACTTAGTATACTGTTTTATTTTGCATAAAATTATTTTGCTTTGATCATTTATTTTTTAATTTAGAAGTTTTATAACAGCCCATCAAACCATGTTTGAAGCCACATCTTTAAGCTGCTAACATTTGATGCAATAGACTCTTGAGTATTTATTATCCAAACTGATGCCTAAAGTAAATTACAGCAAAATGTTTCCATTCCATTAAGTATTGCCTCTGGGACAGCTTTAAATGTGGCAGATAGCCCAAAAGTACAAACCAATCTTGCAGAACACTTCAAAAAGTGTACATATTTGAAAATGTCAGGAGAATGTAGGTAGATAGCCTGTAATTATTCCAAAATGGAATTTCTGGTAGGCACTGGAATTTATGGCCCCATTGTTAAATATTGTGTGAGCGTTAAGTGTTGACTGATGCATTTTACAGCCACGCTGAATGATCAAGTATCAACCCATAGCTTCTCTTAAACCGATTCCCAATACATACGAGTACAGTGTTAAATAAAGGAGAGTGCTGTTCCTGTTGCAGGCTACAGCCGACAGCTCTCTCTTCTTCACTATGCTTGCCACCTACATGCTTGTCGGCCTTTCTCCTTAAGATCGTGGGTTCCTAGTCTTCTCAGTCTTGCTTAAGAAAGGAGAAAGAAGCATTTTCTGTCAGATGTTCCATGTTCAGCTTTGCTACTTAATGTAAGCTAGAATTTTAGTAAATCTGTTCAGCGTTTGTTACTTAAAAAGCTTTTGGTGTTACTTAATGTTTTTGCAGTTCTTTATACTTTCACCTCTCTGCAGGGAAAGTTCCCATATTATACTTCAGGATTCCTACAAAAGTCTTTGAAAAGGGTCTTGTGAAGCAAGTCATTGTTTATGAAATGTTTTTTCCATATGTGCACCAACTGGATTTACTAAAACTGGAGGTGTTCTTTTCCAACTGTTGCAGTCATTTCAGGTGGAATTTTTAATGACGTCCTTTGTAAGTGAAGTTTCAGAAGCACAGACTAAAGTATGATCATATTCCAGGATGTGATTGTAGTTGTAGTATTTGATGCTATGTAATACCTACAAGAAATTAACAACAGAGGAACTTACTGTCTGAAGTAGGATTGGGGAGCGGGGTGGTGGGGGGGATGAGGGCGGACACGTGTCTGTGGATTTGTAACACAATGCACGTAAATTCAGTGGTGGGCTATAAGAATGCCTTCCAAAAAACATAATTAGTACCTTGTTTACAGGTATTGCAAACATGTCAGATGCAAATATATAGACACTGCTGACAAATGTTGTTCTTAATGCTAAACTTTATAAGTACTAGTGTAGTGCCAAAAGTTAACTTTTAATTGCGCAGTATTCCAAATGAGCAATCTTTGATTTTCTCCTTTTTCATGTCAACAGTGAAATAGGAGCCTGGTACAAGAAGAATGAGAACACAAATTTAGAGGAAGTTAGATTTGCTAAAGGTCAAAGATCGTTTCTGTTTGTTCTAAAGTCTTTGTGGTAATGTTCTGAACGAGATTGGAAAGTATCCTTGCTCATAAAGTACAAGTCTTGCTTCCTTTTGTAATGTCGTTTGTTGTGCAGTTTATGGAATTGGAGCCTGAGCCTGGATGAGAAAAATCTAAAGTTTGATGCTAAGTTTCTAAAGCCCCAGTGCATCCCGATACTCACAACAGTTGTTCTTCACAGTCACCTCTGAGTTCATATTTTTAAATATTGGAATTCTAACCAAGTTTGGTGGGAAAGGGAGCAGTGTTTTTTATTGCATCGACACCTTTCAGTGCGCAGCTGTAGTAACAGGAGAATTGGAGAGAACATGAATTTGCATTAGATATTTCACTTCAGCAAAAAAAGAATATTATGTTGCCAGCAGAGCAATTTTTGCCTTATAAAACTATTGGAACAGTCTGATCATAGAGGTGGTTCTGAATGTAGTGCCCTAAATGATCTCAGAATAGGAATTTTGTGTAGAAGAACATTGAAAACAAACTTGAAAGAGAGTGGAGACATGCTAGGGGAGAAAAAGAAATCACGCTCTCCACAGAGTGGGAGGGAGCACAAAAGCAATTTCAGAAGAAAATTGAAGAAATACTAAGAATTACACATGGGAGGGGAGCATGGCAATGACTGGAATGAGGTTAGAGTTGCTGGTGATTTATTTAGAACCTTGAAAGAGATGAGAAGGCAAAAGATCACAGGAAGATAGGAGAGGTGGGGAGGAGCACTAGAATGACAAAAAAACCTATTTTTGTTTTATTAAGTAATTAAAATTTATTTCATGTGGACCTTTTGGAAAATTTAAAGAGACTGCATAAAGAACTGCATGGTATCTGCAGAGGACTACAGAGATCCATGTTTCTCCTTAAAGTGCTATCTCCTGATTTTCTCATTTCCTTCTTGTTTTGATTTGCCTCCCCTTTTTCACTCTCTCTATTTATTCTGTGGTGTTCCTGTAGCTAGAGGGGAGGTTGCTGTGCTTGAATACAATGATAAGTATGAGTGATAGCCCACATGTTTAGACATTCTCAGGTAGTTAGGGAAGATTAACAGGTCTGGGTTTTACCTGGTGTGTGCTATGGAAAAAAATGTAGAAATTGTGCTTCCCTCACAAACTTCAGAAACTCCTTGGCAGTAGTATTACTACAATACTTAAAGAAGGATATGTGGAAATGTACTCTACTCAGAGCCATATTCCCAATCAGAGCCCAACAAATTAATCCCTAAGAGTTCGGAGACGTAAAGCTAAGCGGTTGGTGAAATTGTCTACTTTTCCTTGTCTCAATTAATATATCTGTAAAATGGACCACTTTAGATTTAACGCTTCTTAATATGGTCAGGATTTTTGTAGTCCTGACA